CAAAAGAAAAAGGTTTATATGAAAATTGAATCTGTAGAGATGAAAACTTCTTCAGCAGTGCTTCTCAGTTTGAATTTACATAGCATTCTGTTGCAGCCTACATGTGCTTGCCTAACTGCCCCTCACGTTTTGGAGTGTGGGTCCAGGACTCTTAGATAGGGCCCTGGTCCATGTAGATTTATACCATATTGTAGGTTCTCAAAAATTTGGAGTCTCAAGTCTCATGACTAATACAGCTAGTACAGGGGTAGCATCATTCTTTGTAAGCTCAATTAAATAGGGCATTTGAGTAAGTGCCTTATAAGTCACCTGTTTATAAGGGTGGCATAATAAAGGCTTAGTTCCAATTCTAACACTTCCATGTGATTTTCAGACCAGTTCTTAGATCCTGTTTCTATGAACTATAAATTGTAGAAGGTTAAAAAATATTTCTGAAACAACTGAGTAGCAAGTACTCGGTAAATGTTAATGTTGGTAGTGCTGTTTAATCACTTTCCAAGACCTGTATGGTGATTTGAAACAAGCACTAATGTTCTCTTAGTGTTCATGTAATACTAGAGTAATAGGGTATTCAGCTGTAGGCCAAGTGCTACTCTAGGTATTACGAACATACTAGTGAGTAAAGAAGGCCAAAGGATAAGGTTGGCTGTGTGTTTCACCTGTTCTATAGTCAATGGGGGTACATAACATTCCCATTACTGTGGAGTACTGGGTTTCTTTAGAGTGCTATCTGACTCATGGATGGAGGCCTCCAAGGTAAAGGACTGAAGTGTCTTTATGCTAGTTAGCAATGACAAAACTGACTTGTTACCAAAGTGGGAAGGAAGGGATATTAGCCAGAAAAAGAGGCCTGTCTGAGGTGTGTTTCGCATAATGCTAAGTATGTGAAGTTGGGAAAGCCCTAAGTTCAGGTAGAACAAGGAGTGCAAGACACCATCTGCATCAGCAGTGGTCTTGAGAACAGGGAGGGGCTGCCAGTGTGTCTTGGTTACTTTTTTTTCGTTGCTGAGACAAAATACCTGACACTCAGAATGAAAGAAGGAAAGGTTTATTTAGCTCACACTTTGTGGAGGTTTCAGTCCATACCCAGCTGGCTCCAAGGCAGAGTGGCACATGGCAGGGGGCAACAGCTCATGGTGTTGGAACACAGCAAAACGAGCAAAAGGGAGGAGCGGCAGAGAAGAGCAAGCCTCTTTCCCTTATATTGTAAGCAGGCTACCCCCACCCAGGGGGGTGTAGCACTCACATCTCCATGCCCTCCTCTTGCACAGGCTCAGGGTGAATAGAAGTAAGCACCCTGGGTCCCTGCTGAGTCACACAGCCAAACCTCTAGACTCCCCAAGTTGACACAATGTATCAACCATAACTGTTTCTTAGGCAGGGTCATGATGGAAAGTGTAAGCTGCAGGGTGTGTGAAGTCTGCAGAAGGCTCTAGCAGGTAGTTCTCCATAGTAATTGCTGGTTTCCTCTGAGGCCTGGTCATGGTTCTTTTCCCTGGAGTTCCTTAAGCTGTGCGTGGGTCCTGACCTTCCCAATACCACTACTCAAACTTCAACCAGTGTAGCCCTAGTCATCTTGTTCTCCCAGATTTTGTAAATAAAAAGGGTCTTTAATGCTAAAAAGTTTCAAGTTATTGGAACTAAATTAGCAGGGGAAAGAGATGAACAGTTTTCTAACCAGGGAAGAAACTGGAGAAACGTTTTTAGGGCACCTCAGAATTTAGAATTGCAGAGATACTGGAACTGCAGCTGTCTCCTGGTGGGCATTAGTAATGTGGCAATGTAAGTGAAGTTAAAAATTCAGTTGCATTAGCCACATTTCAAATGCTCAGTAGGGGTAACGTAGATACGGAACGTTTCCATTTCTGCATTTTTACATCGTGTAGCCAAGATTCAGGCGTTTTTGTTTTTTTTTAAACAGGATTGAACCCAGGGCCTTCTCATTGAGCTACATTTCCACCCTTTTAAATTTTTCTGTTTTTTTAAATTTTAAGGGTCTTGGGGAATTGCCCAGGCTGGACTCACACCTGCAGACTTCCAGCCTTACCTTCCTAGAGTGCTGCGGTTACAGGCGTGTGCACCGCACATAGCAAGATGAACAGATGGGAAGATGATTGTCCTGGGTAGTCCCAGGGGCCAACTTGAAATCACAAGATCCTTAATAAGAGAAGCAGGTGGAGATGCCACACACACAGGCAGTAGGCATGTGAAGACAGAGTTGAAGATACTGACTTTCGAAGATTGGAGTGAGGCAGCCACGAGAAGCTTGAAGATAAGTACGTTCACCAAGACAGCCTCCAGCCCCTAAGGGAGGGTGCCCTGGGTTTTGTTACTGGGTTTTGGGGTGCTACAATCTCAAGGTGGTTTCTAGGTTCTTTCTACATCAAGACAAGCACAAATAGCAAAGTTTTACATTTATGAAAGATAGCAGCCATCCTATCAGAAAACCTGCTGGAGTTAAGAAGTCTTTGTGCGGGGCTGTAGGAGCTGTTCTGCACATGTTTCCTGGGATTTTGTAGTGAACAAGTCATGCCTGCTTTCCTGGCTAGCCTTATCCTAGCTTCCTGTCTCAGTTTGGTTTAGGAAAATGACTTCCAGTCTTCTGAAAATGAATTTCTGTTTTAAGCCACCCAGGTTATGGTAGTTTGTTACAGTGGCCACAGAGAGCTAAGAAAAGTTTAAGAGCACAAATACTGCTGGCCTTGGACCCTCGCTGCATGCACCACGCTGCTCCCACACTGTTTTTATTAGTGCCTGGTGAGTGGGTGGGAGTAGCGCTTATCTCCTAGTCAGTTTCTAAGTGTCAGGCATGGCAGTGAACCCAGGATTGATTTAGACAAAGGACCTGTGATATGCTGGTAGAGAGACTGGAGCAGCAGGCTTCAGAAGCACGTCTTACATTCAACCCAGAGGGATGCTGGGCAAGCGACGTTTTGTACAAATACGGGAAAGGATTCAGCATGTGTGCTTGTGGGTGCACCTGTCCCAGGCTTCCTAAAGATCTTCTCAAGACGAAGAGCACAGACAACTGCATCTGAAGGTGCCTTCCTACACTGTCCTGCCTGAGTTCAAGCTGCCGAGATTCTTCTCAGTCTTCCTGTGCTCCCTGGCCCCCCATTGTAGCAAGCATCGTAGTGTATATAGTTGAAATTAGAATTCTGCTCCCAGAACACGTTTTTCTTTTTCTTTTCCTTTTTTTTTTTTTTTTTTTTTTTTTGAGAGAAGGTCCATAGTGTAGGTTGGCCTTGAACTCACCTATGTAGCCCAGGCTGGCCTTGAATTCACAGTGATCCTCCTGCTTCGGCCTCTGCAGGGCTGAGATTGCAGGTGTGCACCACCTTGCCTGGCTCCAGAACAAGTCTATAAAGATGCTCATCTTGTGGCCACTCTTGGCTTTCTGGGTCCAGTTTTAGGTCGACTACTGTACCAGTCAGGGCTTTACTAGAGAAAGAGACTCAACACAAGAGGTACAAATGTGTAAGAAGTTACAAGATTGGCTTACCGGGGTCAGCCAGAGAGTTGGATGAGGAAGTGTGCAGAGGGTGTCTGCACACTGAAGACCAAAGGGATCAGTCCAGGGTCTGGAGTTCACTACAGAGCTCTGTGCAAGTCCGTATCAGGAGGCTGATGAGCCTGCGACGGAAGGCTGAAGGATCCAAGGTGGAAGCCGAAGAGTCTGCACTAGAAGCCAGGAGACTAAGTCCAGGCTGAAGGTGAAGACTGGAGCTCCTCCAAAAGGAGTGGAAGTTCCTCTGTCCTTCCTCATTTCCCTTTTATATCATCTAGGTGATGATCCACCTTAGGGTGGCTCCTCTACACCCTAGGGTGTAGAATTGCTGAGCCAAGTTTAGTAAAGCTTCTAAACTTCTCAAGTTGACATCATCACCCACTACAATTACCTTCTCCAGCAACACAACCATTGGTTGTGTTTAGAGGCCTGGCTGATCCTTACGCTTTGCAATTCACTTCACTTCAGACAGGTCGTAAAATTGGGGTTTCAGCCAGGTGTATTGGTGCATACCTGTAATCCTAGCACTCAGGAGACTGAGACAGGAGGATTGCTGGGAGTCTGAAGCCAGCCTGGGCTACATGAACAAGTTCAAGGCCAATCTGCATTACATGCAAGACCCTATCTCAAAAAAATAAAACAAAAAATTGGGGTTTCAGCATGTGTGCCTCAAGTAGCATTCTATAAACCATCATCCCCCAGTGCTGATCTAACTTCCTTTAACATTATGTCCTTAGGAAGACCTGAAGTTGTCCTAAAAACTTGGATTGGAACTTCAATCAGTGAGGTGACTGGCTCTGCAAGAGACATTACCATGAAAAGTGAGACTCTGGCAAATTACTTATTTGCCGCAGAGCCATTATACCCACGTCTTCTCAGCTGTCTCTTTACAAAGAACAGTGCAACATCTCGCCCATCAATGTCAGATAAATTTCAGAAATCCAGCACAGTTACTGCCCTGAGCCAGTCTGTCAGCGTTAAAACAATTGCTGAGGTGAGTAAATAATTTCTTGATCATGTAGTAGAAGCATATTATCTCCTTAACATCTTAAACTTCCTCACTGGTTGTACTTGGTTGTGTGCTGAGCACCTTCAGTTTGATTCATGGGATAGATACCACCACACAGTAACCAGGCCTTTTATTGCTGAACAGTTTAAGCTACAGAACACCATGACCCCCGAGAGGCTCACTGCAGTGTATTGTACAGAACATGTTACCCTTGTGTTGCTGGACTATCTGAGGCAGACCTAGGGTCGAGGACATTTATTAAGATCAGTAGAGGTGCTATTACTGGACTACTTGCTCAGATAGGCAAAATGGTAGAGGCCCCGCCAGCTTCGTGTGATTGGATTAAAGCACCTGGTGTTAAAGACCCTAATTTAAAAGCACTAATAAATTATTTAAAGAAAAGCTACTTTACCTGTTATATCAGCCATGCTAGGAGGGGTTTTAACCCACAGACTACCAACTGCATCAGTTGATAGAGCTGGACTTACAGGGTCTTTGAATGTAATATCTACACGTAATGTTTACAGTTGATTTTATGACTGATTTCGATAAATCAAGAGACTGCACTTTAGCTTTCTAAGCACTTTTACACGTGGATTTAATTAGCTCTTCAGGACTCTAAGGAAGTTCTTGGCAGTACTGCCTCACCTTGCGTTGCACGCATAGAAGATGTTCGGAGGGTGCGTGCTGGCCTGCTCGGCCTCCTCGCTACTCAGGTCTTACTCTTGAGCAAATTACTATAGTTCCTCCTGAACATTCACGAAACTGGTATGGTGACCCAGCAGTGGTAACAGCTCTAAGGCTTGGGGAAGAGATCTTATCATTATCTCAGGAAGTAAAAGAATTGGACATAATCCTTGATTTGAGGCAATCTCCGAAACACTTTGAGCAGTTCCGACTAAGTCTCACTGTGTTCCTTCAGGCGCCTCATCACTGTCTGCTTCATCCTGAGACGAGGGGAGTAGACTTGGGAATAAAGTGTGGTCAGCATGAAGATACCTGAGTGATTGCCCACATCCCGGAGCATTTCCAAGACTAAGATGGATTTCCAAAGCTGCCTTCAGTTTGTTAGGTATCACTGAAACATCTGAGCTGCTTTTAAGCCCAAGCTGACAACATTCTGCACCTAGACATGCTATTATGAGAGGTTCTAGTAGCAAACCCGCTTCTGACTAGAATTGAGTTGGTCAATGAGGGTGTTTCCAGAATTACTAGGCAACACAAATGCCAAGGCTGGGTCCTCAGGGCTCGACTGCTCCTGCGTCACAGCCCCATAGCTAAGCATGATCCCTTGTCATACATGGAGCACAAAGACTGCACTCACCACGCAGTGGCTGGGTGCCTCCCTCCAAGTGATCCCTGGCACCTGTCGATGTGTCTAAAGGCCTTGATTGCTACCAGAGCGGATGAAATAATAGTTGTGTCCAAGGCTGCACCCTTTGAAGTTGTGCAAGATGTCTTCTACGTTACTAACGTTATTATTCTGAGGTAGATGTGCGAGCGCTGGAAGCTGTCATAGACAATGACATGCGGTGCTGTAAGGACAAAAGGTAGACTGTGCTCCTGCTGCCTGTCACGTAGTCAGCCTTGACTGTCTGCTCCTCTTTGCTGACGTGCTGGGCCAACTTGACAGTGTCCAGCTTGTGTTTTCCTTAGTTAGAGAAATATATTTTGTTTCCAGTTTGCTTAAAGGACCTCATGTCTGGGACAGACTGGCCCAGCCAAGGACCCATTTAACTCTACTGGCTCCGCTTACACCGCCCCCTCTGCCCAGAATGTTCAACAGTTCCTTTTAGTAAACCTGCCTGACCATATGACAGGATTCTTGTATTCCATGGAACCATCGTGTACTAACCTGCTATCAGCTTCGTACTTTCCACGCGCAAGCCCTATTTAAATGAACTCAGACCTGACTCTGGACTGGTGATGTGAGCCTCCGGGTTCCCCAGCCCACTAGCGTAATGAAAGTTGCCTTCTAACTCCTCCTGCAAAGAGTCAATTTGGATTGATACCGGTTTTTCTGCAACAGTGTAACTAGTTAATTTACTCTGTGACATTTCCTTAGCAGTTTTAGAATTTGCTAGGCGTTACCGTCACAGTGAGAACCACCATTTGGTGCAGTAACTCACACATCTTCCCCGGAGCCTGTGCCTGTAGGGCCTGTGCCGCCATGGCAACGATGGGGTTGGTGCAAGGTGGAAGCCAGTGGGCTTGGCCGCGTCTTCATGCCTTCCGCATGATCCCTTAGGCTTGTCTGTGTCTCTGTGTCCCAAGATCGATGGCATTTTTTCCACCATAAGGAGGCAGGATCGTGACCTGATGCCTCCAAAGAGATTGTAACTCCGAGGTTAAGTCCTTTGATTCAACAGCTGCACTGTTATTTAGAGATAATTAGGGAGTCACTTTGCATTTGGAGACAACCGAGTCCTGTTTACACACACTTCCCTCGTGACAGAGGTTTGAGGAGGAGCCGCCGGGTGAAGGGGTGTGCATTTGGGCAACCGCCCGAGTCCCTGATGGGGGCTGGTTTGTCCCTTTGCTCCGTGCCCAGCTGGCCTGACTAATCAATACTTTTATAGCTGTACTCTAGAAAAAAATTTTAGACTGTAATGATAAGAGATATAAGCCTGTGTCTAAAAGTCAGTATTGGCAAATACCTCCTAGTAAAACATCAGAACTAGTACAAGGGACTTACGGTTTGTTGGCATGTTAGCTATGTATGCATCCTTTTGATGTCATACAGTATAAAAGATCAAGTTATAAAAATTCAGTAACTGAAATAAGGTAACAGGAAAAGCAATCTAGTTATCATCATTTTTGCCCTGCAGGTCACACAGCTTTGGCAGCAGTGTCCCAGAGGCAAGACAGACCGTGAAAATGAGACAGTTTTTCCATAAACAACCACAATTGGTTTTGGCTCATGTTCCAAGAAATGTAAACTTGAATCTCTGGGAAGCTTTTAAAAACGTTAAGATAGTGTAACTAATAAAACTAGTCTTCCCAGGGCCAACTACGCAGGCTCCCGGAGTCTCTAGTGTCACTTTGCTGTAGTTAGGTCGCAGTAATACTAATGCTGAATGACGGGAGACCGCATGTAAATAAGGTCGAGCTTGGGGAAGGAAACTGGGGCAAAGAACCTAAGTTTCTGAATGAGAAGTTCATGTGACTGACCAAAATTCACTCTAGTGGGAGGGATAGCACATGACTGAATTAGCTCCTTAAAGGACAATGTAAGAGACAAGCATACTGGAATCTTTCTTTGTATATTATTTTTCTAGACTTATCAGAATTTCTTTGTGAAACCATCTTTAATCTATTCTGTATAAGAATATCTTTTTTATATCAACTCAAACATGAATTTCTAATGCTTCTTTACTAAAATGTTTCAGCAAAACTACCAGTTGGAATGTAATGTGCCTGAAGCTATCAAAGATCTCATAAATATTTGAGAAAATGCCTTCAATTTAATAAGACCTGTTAGAGCTAGTGCTTAGGCTAATATCAGTCACCCTCTGAAACCCACATGATGCTGGGTGTGGTGGCACATACCTATAATCCCAGCACTTGAGAGGCTGAGGCAGGAGGATCCCTGCAAGTTCAAGCCAGCCTAGGCTACATGATGAGTTCAAGGCTAGCCTAAACTACACAGCAAGACCCTGTCTCAACAAAACAAACAAGAAACACGTGCACATGGAAAATGGGAAGGTCAAAACCTATTCCCAGGTGGACTGTCCCAGCACTTGAGAGGCTGAGGCATTTTAGGCCAGCCTGAGCTACATAGTGAGTTCAGGGCCAGCTTGAACTACATAGCAAAACCTTCTCTCAAAACAAAAACCAAACCAAACCAAACCAAAAAATATCACAAGTCCCACGTTGTAGATAAAACTATATATGTTGTTTGTGTATTAATTACAGTAATGCCTTTTGAATCTCAACTATGAAATCTTAGTCTCATAATGAAACAAGTTTAGATCTGCAGGCTGTGGTGGCACACTTCTGTAATCTCAGAATTCTGGGAGACTGAGGCAGGAGGATCTTAATTTCCAGCTCAGCCTGGGCAATTTAGTGATTTTAAGAGAGAGAGTGATTTTGCCTAAAAACCAAAAAATAAAAACTAGAGAAAGAGCTAAGTTAGAAGGCTCTGGGTTCAATCCCCAGTACTGAAGAAAAAAAAGATCAACATTGATCTATTTCTATTTTCTTTCTTTTTTTTTTTTTTTTTTTTTTTTTTTTTTTTTTTTTTTTTTTTTTTTTTTTTTTTTTTTTTTTGTCTTTTTGTAGCCCAGGCTGGCCTCAAACTTGCAGTCGTCCTCCTGCCTCAGCCTCCCAAGTGCTGGGATTACAGGCGTGCACCATCATGACTGGCTTCTATATCTGTTTTCTACCTTTCTTACCAAATGTCACTCCTGAACAGTTTATATATAAAAATCTTTTTAAAATTGAAATTTAGATTATACACAAAATAGCAAGTATTTAAGTATATAATTTTGTAAGATCCTGACCAAAACCAAGTTCGGCATTCTTTTGCCTTGGTCAGGGGAAGTGTAAGAGAAGAGTATATTTTTACTTTAAACTGACAACCATTACCCAAAGCCCTGTGGACTATTTTATTCCTATTTCCCCACCCTCTCTCTCCCACCTCCCTGAGATGGTGCCCCAGTATAACTGTGTTGCTCAGGCTGGCTTCAAACTCAGTCCTCCTGCTCAGCCTAGTTTGGATTACAGTTCTGTTTCTTCCCTGCTCATAGAGTAGAATGGGTTTCCAACACCCGAGTCCAGAAAAAGAAGTTTCGTCATTACAGGCCTGCGTACGTCTGCCGAAACACGGCCACACTCGTTCCCTTGAGATATTTACACACAGAATTACAATTTGTAGCTTTCTATTCAAAGTTTGACTGCCTAGCTGCAGTTAGACTTTGAGTCAAGTTAAGAAAGTCTGCAAATGAGACACTTGAAATATTTGACATAGTTTATTTTGACAAAGTCAAGAGCAAGTATTTCTGACCCCAGAGAGGCTTAAGAAGGCAATGCTGATGACCACGATGACGCAGCAAGTGGCCACGCAGCAGCCCACGGCACTCACGAAAATGCTAAGGGGCAGACGTGGGTGGGTCGGGTTAGACGTGCTCACATAGCCATTAAATGAGAAGAGGCTGAAAAGTTAAATAAACAGGCTCATTCTGAATGAAAACTTCACCGTGAAGAAAGTTTCTGGGAAGACTCTTTCGTATGCTATTGTGGTTGTTGACCTTGCCGAGGTCAAACCAAAACAGAGCCACAGCCGAAACCTGCTGCTTGTGTGTGCATCCAGGGCACAACCTGCTGCTTTACTTTGGTGGTCTGGGAGAAATCTCAGGCTGAGACTAGGAGGTGTGGTCAGATAATACAGTTAATGTTTAAGTCTTTATAACTTCCTGTAGTAAAAGGTACTGGCCATGAACCCGCCTCGAAATTCTCCTCACCTGGCGCTCCTCCTGTTCACCCTTGCCTCCTCCTGAAGCAGTTCTGGAGGTCCTCTTCCGTGAGTGTCTTCAGTTGCACTCCTGTGGATGCCCTGGTGTCCGCAACCGAGTCACAGCATTTACCTTCCATGGCCATTTTGACTCTGGGGCGAAGCCGTGTCACCTGGTGCCCAATCTGATGGATAAGACGGACCAGGGCACACTGTAACGACTTCTACCGAAATTGCCACAGATGTTTGGAGTAACGCAGGACACTGAGGCAGCCGAGAAGACACAAACGAGGACTTCCAGAACTGCTTCAGAAGTGGCAAGAGGTGAGTTGAGGGGATGTGTGTGTTAAGCGCAAGGGGAGTGTTCTGAGGGGGTTAATGCAGCATGCCTTTTACGGTAATAAAGCTTAAACTCTTTTTATTTGAACGTTCACCGTACGGTTCGGTCACATTCCATAAAACAAGAGTCTCTAAATGCTGTTCCTTGGCCGGGCGGCTATGACACTTACACAGCAGGAAGTCTGCTGGAGAGCTGGGTGTGACAAAACAGATTCCGCAGGGAGGGAGCCTGAGCAGGAGCCTCAGGGTGAGGAAACACCAGAAACAGGCGCCTGCCCTCCTCAAGACGCGCTCACCGCGCATTCTTACTTAGAAAAACGCTGAAACAGAGACTTGACATTCATTGTGCAGTTTTTGTCCCCAGAAGAACGTGTGGCATTCTGGAGGTATATGAGGTAATAAAATCAATACTCCCATTAGAACACCTGAAATAACTGGTTCCAGTAACAAATGTCTCATAATTAAAAATATTGACTGTTTAAAAGGCTTTTATAACATTTTAAGTCCTTAAAAGAAATATGCCTAACACTTAAAAAACAACTTAGCTTTTCTATATAAATTGTTCACAAATTTTTTTGCTATTCTATATTACACTATGCATTTATAGTTTTATTAACATATCCCTAGTGGATATTAACACTACACAGTATGAGCAAATAGAAAGTATTCATAGAGAATCCACAGGACTCCAAAAATAAAAATAGTAGGATCAGTGGATCTGTCAGTTTCTCCACAAGTGTTCATCACAGAAAAGAGAGTAAAGGCAAAGTGGCCCCAGTTAGGCTGCTGCATGAAGTTCCAGAGAAGACAGACACAGAGGCAGTGCTCGGACTGGGCAAGGTCAGGCTGCACCTTGAAGGTTCATGACCCATTTCCAGCCTAAAGTAAAAAAAAAAAAAAAAAGATAATTCTCCTCAGAGCTGGTAACAAAGCTAGCCAACAACTTTGAAAGTGCTTTTCTGATCAGCTGAAACATTATAACCTATCCCGGCAACAGTTACTCTTTTCATTTCACAAGCCACGCCTGAGAAATCAGTAAAAGCTTTCACAGAAGAGTGCAAATAATCGTGGGAGATGTTGACGGAGATTTCAACCCTGTGCCCCCTCAACTTGAATGCCTTCTATTTTCCCACATACAGAAGGGTAAATCAGCATTTTCTCACTTGTCAGGGGAGCAGGAATACGATACTTGAAGTTCATTCATTATGTGCAGGCAGTATTACTCCCTGCACCCTAACAAGAACCTCAGATGACAAAAATATATCCTTGGAGCGTGGAAACTGCCCATTGCCTTGGGTATATATTTAGAATGTGCTAGTTTGAAATTATGGCTTTTCCAACGCTAGTTTTTTTTTTCCTTGAAAGTATTTTACTTCAGATTGAAAAATGATCAGGTTCCACACTGTTCACTGCAGGATACACAGTATTCACAAATTCAGTGCTGGTCACTTCAGGATGTATGTTCACACAAGGAGGATTTCTCCTTTTTCTTTTGGAAAGATCCTGTCTACCAAAATGAAACTTCAGAAGTACAGGGAATACTGTTTACCTCCCAGCAAAAGCCCTGTTTTCTCAATAAGTTTATGAAAACCTACGACTCCCAGTGGAAGCAAGAGCTTCTACTACCACCACCTGAATATAATCACATTATTGGAATACTAATATTAACACCTGAAGAGCATATTTACTTTTAACAATGATAGTGATTAAAAAAAAAAAACCAAACCTCAGTGTGGTAAGTGTAACATGGATCCGTGGAAGTATTAAGCATATGAAAGCAGCAGCTAATACTGGATTTAATATTATTTTAGAAATAACTGTTCCCTTAGCAGTAAGTGTAGGTCTACATATTGACAGTAGTCCTACTCCAATAGTATTGACTGATAGGGAGGCTCAAATCCAAGATACCAAAATAGTTTGTTTCCAAATACATTACAAGAAAATGGATTTGATGTTTCCAATCTTTATAATACAGTATGGTTGGAATTTTAACAAGTATTGTTCCCCAAGTTCATCCTGCAAATACTGCTTAGTGTGTTTAGAGTTGAAGACAATGCACACATACTGAAAAATAGCACTTTATAAGCTTTGAACACGTCAGGTAGTTCAGATCAGTTTGAAAAAGTTTCCACAAACTAAGGTTGTATAATGCAAATACCAGAATTAAAACAAGATATTCCAGTTACTGGATATGACTTTAAAATTTATGTACTGATGAGTGTGTGTGTGTGTGTGTGTGTGTGTGTGTGTGTGTGTGTGTCAGAGATTCAGAACATAAAATTTATCCTTTTAACTCTTTTTTGGGAATCGAACTCACGACCTTGCACTTGCCAGGCAGGCGCTGTGCTGCTGAGCTAAATCCCCAGCCCCGATCCTTTTAACTCTGAAGAGCACAGCGATTTGACGGTAAGTACAGTCACAGATTTATGTAACCACCATCATCATCATCCATTCCTAGATTTTTTTTTTAATCTTCCCAAACTGAAATTCTGCACCTGTAGATGAAACTCACTTCCTCCCTCCAACCCTGGTCACCACTATTTTCCTTTTGGTCTCTACGATTGTGACTACTCTGGTATGTCACAAGTACAGTACAGTACTTGCCTTTATGCCTGGTCTATTTCACTCTAGTTTTTAAGGTACTTCAGTGTTGAAGTATCAGAACTTTCTTCCTGTTCAATACTGAGTAATATTCCAACATATGTTGTACAGTAGCACATTTTGTTTGTTCATGTGTTACTGGACATTTGGCTGATGTCCTCCTTCTGGCTCTTTCCAATAATGTTACTGTGTACATGGTATAAAAGCACCTGCTGAGTCCCTGCTTTCAAGTTTTTGATATACACGAAGAAATGAAATTGTTGGATTACATGATAGTTCTAATGTTTTGAGGAACCAGTGAAGTTTTTCCACAGAAGTAACACCACTTTACTTTTCTATCAGAAGTGCAGAAAGGTTTCAGGTTTTCCATAGCTTCAGCAATACTTTTTTTTCTTGGAACTTTTCAATCCTACACTAAGACTCTGGGTATCAGCTGAGTCCTGTAATCCCAGCTACTGTGGAGCCTGAGGCAGGAAGATTGCAAGTTCAGGTCAACCTGAGAAATGTAGTGAAAGCCTGTCTCAAAATTAGAAAGGACTGGAGGCTGCAGCTCGGTGATTCCAGTACTTGCCTAGTGCGCAGGCGTGTGGGAGACTGCCAGGCTGCACTCTTCCGAGAAACGAAGCCCCTTGCTTTGCTCTTTACCTGGCCTTTACCTCAGCCCTGTTCACTGAGATATGCGTAGCTGGACAGATAGAGAAGATGTTCCCTTAACTGGCCAAAAGAGCGTATCAAGTCCCGCCAGGATGCCAGCGTGTCTCACTGCAGGACGCAGGCAAGAATCGTCCCCCTGTATGGAGTGGGGCTTTGGGCAACAGCAACAGCCTGTGCGATTGCAGGGCCGAGACGTGAGAGGACGTCTCAGCCGGGGCTGTGGGACTCAAGAGGAGCTACACCTTCCTGCAGGAAAGGCGCCGCCTTGCTAACCGCAGGGCTCCTGTGCCTGGTACAAAACTGTTCTCTTTCTTTTTACAAAATTGTCCTGTTTGAGCAGAAACTAACACAGTGGAGACCAAGAAAAGAATATAAAGAACTAATGAATCAAAGAGTTGGTTTGTTGAAAGAATAAATAAAATTGATAAACCCTTAGTGAATCTTATAAAAAAGGAAAGACTCATTCATGTACTGAGGGATGAGAAGGGTGAAATCACTACAAATCCTGTGGAAATCCAGAAGACCATCAATGCCTGCTTCAAAAATCTTTCCTCTTACAGGATGGAAAACAAAAGAAATGGACAGATTCCTAAATACACTGGATTACCAAAGCTGAATCAAGAAGATAGAAAAATTGTGAATAACCCAATATCAGTTAATGTGATTGAAAATGTAATTAAAAGCTTACCACCAAAGAAAAGCCCATGTCCTGATAGATTCACTGCTGAATTCTACGAGAAATTTAGAGAAGATTTAATGTCAATACTCCTTAAACTCTTTAATGAAATTGAAAGGGAGACAGTACTCCCTAACTCATTCCTGGAGTCAAGTATTACCCTGACACTAAAACCAGAGAAAGACCCAACCAAAAGGAGAACTACAGGGCAGTCTCCCTAATGAGCATAGATGCAAAAATCCTCAATTTGTCATGTCTACATCTTGCAATCTGAGCAACTACTTTGAGGGTAACAATACACGGTGTATAACCATTGTCACCCTCCTACAATCTTGTTTTGAAATTTTGTAATCTTTTTTATCTTTAAAATAGAAAAACAAAACAAAAAACCCCACATAGCTGTTTCTCCTTACAGCCAAGGCCTGCGAAGTTTCTCCTCCCCAGCACTCTGCTGTGACCCGCCCCCACCCCATCTCCCTGATCGATACCGATGAAAGCCTTGAGCTTTTGGACTGGTGGCCCTTGTTCCACGGAGAGCCTTGGGTCACCCCAGAGCTCCTCGTCTGCAGAACTTTCTCTGTTATTTTGAGTCCATGTGCCATTTGCTGTGTGGGTTAGACTGACACCCTCCACGGGGGTTTTGGTACAGGAGGCCCTGGGTTCAATCCCCACTACATAAAAAAAGTTTAAGAACCGTACTTAAGAAAATTTTGAATTATCAAGTGCAAGAATTAAGAACTGCGTACATATTGACCCATGCCTTTCCTGGGGAAATGTGCGTGACCTCTAGGGGGGATGAACAGGGCTGCGTTCAGAACAGATTTGCACTGGGAAGGCACCTGAAAGTCCAGCTTCGGGCTGGGGGTATAGCTCAGCGGCACAGGCGCCTACCAGGCGGGTGCAAGGTCCTGAGTTTGATTCCTGGTACCAAACAAAAGAAAATTAGCTGTGACTTTATCCCACTTGAACTATCGTGAAGTTAAATTAGCAGAGAAAGCACCAGGTAGAAGTGGCCTGGGAACAGCAGGGGCCCACCAGGGAGCTAACTGCAGCCGACGCCCACCACCAGCACGGCGCCTCCGTGGGCCGCGTCGGCGTCAGAGCGCGTCAAGAACAGGGGCAGGCCCACCTGCGAGTTTGAAGTGAACAGCCGCTTTAGCCCTTCCGCAGCTGGGGAGCGTTAGTGCTCCGCCGGGCCTCACCAGGTCGCTTTACTGCCGCTCGCTCCTGCCCAAGGGCCCGCCGAGGACCAGCAGGCGCACGCGCAGCGCTCCGGGCAGGGCCGGGCTTGGC